AGAAGAATGAAAGAGTAGTAAAGAATCTATCAAAAATTTGTGACATCATTTTTTATGATATTTAAGCACACTCGAGTAAAAGTCTCTCCAATCAATTGTATACTCACTGGTAAATTGTTCCATAGTTTTGCCGCCTGCACATAAAACGATCTGTATCCCACTTTTGTGTTAACTTTGGGTATACAAAGATTGTTAGTACGAGTACACCATATGTATGAAAACTTTGAAGAATGTTAAATTGTTCACTTAAGTAAATTGGTTTTTTATTCACAATGATCAATTTATGTAAAAAGCACAGGATGTTAAATAAGCGCATCTTTTCCATATTAAGCATATTCAGATCAACAAGTGCTGGTGTTATACGATCATATTTACGTATGTTGCAGACATAACGGACACAATAATTTTGGACTTTTTGTATTTTAATGGATAGGCTTTTATTTAGTCCATGATAACACACATCGCCGTAGCTCAGTAAAGGTAATATTAGTTGTTTTATTAATTTTAGTTTAATTTCCTTTGATAGCGCGTCTTTAGATCTATATAAGTTTTTTTAATTTATAGTATGATTTATTTAGTATATAGTTCACATGCAGTTCCCAGCTCAAGTTTTGATCTAAAACCATACCTAAGATCTTCATGGATGTATCATATTCAACTTTAGTTCCAGGCACCTCTACTGTATGTGTTACTTCGGAGAAAAATTTTTTAATTTGTCCTGTAGTACCTAGCGGCATTAATACCGTTTTACAGGGGTTAAGCTTAGGGTGGTTTGCAGTTGCCCACTTGGTGATAATGTCTAGGTCTTCGTTCAAATCATCTATACGTTGATTAATAGTTTCAACACTGGCATTTATTAATAGCTGTATATCATCAGCGTAGAGGTGAACATAAACATGTTGGAGAAAACGATGTAAGTCACTAACATATATATTGAACAACAATGGGCCCAGAATACTTCCTTGAGGAACTCCACAGTCGACACGTAGCATGTTAATGGTAAATAAACACTGGTAGCATTATGCCTTGTACACATCTACGCTGCAACGTGTAATGCAACGTGTAATGCAACATGTAATGCAACCAATGTGGACAGATGTTGCACGTTGCAGCTCTTGTTGCAAAACGTGTTCGCTCGCGATCCGATCATTGTCGGTTTTTGGCGCGCCATCAAAGGAAATTTCAGTTGCAGTGTGGACGGCGTTTATCGTGCATGTGCATTCGTACAAACTATATATCCGCGCATTTGAAAGATGGACGATTGGGACGAGGAAAAAGTGCTTCTCCTTATTCAACTGTATCGGGAAAAAGAAAACATATGGAATCCCCGAAATGAAAATTATAAGAAAACGCATTTAAAGGTAGATACCTGGAATGAAATTGGAGACGCTCTCGCCAGTACGGGCGAAATTTGCAAAAAAAAAGATGACAAGCGTTTTATCGTCGTACAGACGTGAGAAAGCGAAAGAAACAAATACACATGGTACTGGAAAAGGTAAATATGAATCTCTTTTTTCATTTACGTAAAAAAAACTATACTGATTTTTCATTTTTTAATAGTTGAATTTGTTAATAAAATTGTAGTTTTAAAGATACATTTTTAGGTTCAGCGGAAGTATACAAAAGCAGATGGTTTGCGTATGATGCTCTGGCCTTTCTGAATGAAAGAAACCAACCGCGAAAACGATCTAATACCGTAAGTACCTACTATTTATATTTTACGCATATAGATTTTGCCATGAAACTTTCCCTTCGTTAATAAAATAATCCCCTAGCTCATGTCGAATATGATCGAGGGCAAGTGATGTTCTTCTGGGCACGTTTTTAAGTGAAGTCATTGATCTGCCTTCATTATCGTTCCTCCATGTTCCAGGGGTAACATTTCCGTCTATTTCTTTATCTAAGGATCCCGGAGGAGTATAAATATTGCGTGCGTTCCTCCTTAAATAATTGTGGAGGTAAGCAATAGTCATTACTACTAGTTCGACCTTTTCTGGTTCCAAAACGATTGGTTTTCTTAAAATACGAAATACAGATGATGTTATACCGAATACGTTCTCAACTACCCTACGCGCCCTACTTAAGCGGTAATTGAAGATTCTTTTCAAAGTACCAGCCGCATGTTCTCCAGAAAAAGGCTTTAACAAATTTTCTGACAATGCAAATGCGGAATCGCCCAAAAAGAAGTATGGCAAAGCTTTTACTCGTCCAGGTAGTGGTGTGGGTTCTGGTAAAAATAAATCTCCTCTCTTCATTTTTTTACCCAATACGCTATCTTTAAACACTCCTCCATCTGATATCCTTCCCTGGCAACCCGTGTCAATAAATAAAAAATTGTAATCGGCATCGACTAGCGCGAACAACACGATGCTAAATGTTTGCTTATAATTGAAAAATTCGCTTCCAGAATTGAATGGGGCTTGAATTACCACATGTTTGCCGTCCATACTACCCAAACAATGCGGAAAATTCCACTGAGATTCATATTCTTCTGCTATTTTTATCCATTCATTAGGAGAATCGGGCAACTGAAATAAAAAAAGGTATGGTTAAGTTCTGTATCGTTAACACATTTTTAATTGCAGGTCATTGATGATGAAAAAAACGTAAACGAAACATCGGCGGAGGGAAAGGTCGATCAAGCAGAACCACGTTCTGCACCAATACCACCCAAGAAGAAACGACCCACCGACCAAAAACTGGACTTATTGAAGCAATCATACGGAATATTAAAAGCGGCCTCAGACAACGTTAATTCACTTTCTAATCAAATGAGTATTCAGAATGAAGAGGTTCGGTATTTTTGTGGATTCATTGGAAATAAAATGTCTAAATATTCAGACATAACTAGAGCTTCAGTTCAACATGCAATTCACAATATCATTTTTCAAGCTGACCGTGGGTTCTATGAGGCCACCTATACCGGAAACATGCACTACATGGGACCATCTACATCAACTACTTCATTTGCACAACACATACCAAATACATATTCGAATAACACGAATTCATTCTTTAATCAACTACAGTCAGGACAAATTCCCGGGCAGCATTCTTCCACACTTCCGACACCGACAGCTGAAGTCCCCACACCATCTCCATGTTCATCTTCAGTACATTCATACACTCAGATCTCTGAAGAAACATCACAATCTGAAGAACCTCAGTTTGAAGATTTACTCTAATGCATAACTGATAAATTCAAATAGATTTGTAATTTAACATGAAATACAGTTTTGGTACTTACTTTTATTTCATGTCTTAAACCTTGTGTTAACGCAGCACAGACTTCAGGAACAATTCGACTTATCGCTTGTTTCGATATTCTGAATAAATATTGCAGACTGGAGTAGGAGTCTCCACTTGCTAAGAAACGTAGGGTCACAGCTAACCTATCCTGCACAGATATCGCCTTTCTGAAACGCGTATCTTTCTTTGCTATTTGTGGGCCAATTAATTGAATCAAATATTCAAAGTCTGAACTAGACATGCGAATGAAATTTTTATATTGACCGCTTAACTCCTGGGATTTAAGATCTAACATCAAAGTAGCTCCACATCGTTTTTTATATATGTCTGTTCTCCACCATCTTCGCGATTTTTTATCAGTCACTAATTCTTGCATTATAATGAAAGCACCCCACATGCTAAGGTAAAATGTTGTAACGTCTCAAGAAGTTGAGCGTCCATGTTCACGCACGAGCATACACTGCAACAGTGCAACAGCTGTGGAAACGATATTTACATGAGTTCGCGCCAAATTGTTGCACTACAAAACAAATTTCGTCCACATTGCATTACATGTTGCATTACACGTTGCATTACACGTTGCAGCGTAGATGTGTACACGGCTTTATAGATGAAGACGATTTCGCAGTTTCATATATTCAGGATGCGATACAAAATGGTATATACGATTTAGATGGTGAACTTGTTTCAATTTGTCGTTTGGAAGGTAACAGTGAGTGAGTATACAAGGTAACATTTGTAATAAAATGTTCTTGTGTAATATTTTTAGTGTGAAAATTTTATTAGAAAGAGACGCTGGAGAATCTTCTAGCATGTCAGTAAATGATGATAACAACATTGCTTTAGGTAACTAGGTATAATTACATATTGATGTGTTACTTGCTTCTTTTTTTGCTCTTTATGTTTTCAATATCGGTGATTTTTTGTTATAATCGTATAATAAATTGTTGTTTTTTAGAAGATGGAGCACTAGCGATACAGAGTTGGACAGAAGCTCCTACAAAGCTCTTAATTGAGCTGTATAATAACTACAGCCCAAAAGTTGGGAAAGTAGTTAAATTAAAAAATAAAAAAAAATGTGGGAAGCCATTAAAGACGATATGGAAAAACAAAATTATACCTTTACTGCTGCCCAAATTGAAAATCGGTGGAAAACGTTAGAGAGGTCTTTTAAAAAGAAGACTGAAAATAATAATAAAACTGGACGGGCTAGAGCAAGCTGTCCATATGAAAGGTTTGTATTCAGTTACAACTTATTTAGTTTGGGTAATGGTGGTTTTCAGGGAGTTAACAGAATGTTTTGCCAAAAAATCGAACGTTTTTCCTGATTTTACATTGGACCGGGATGGAAATGGAAAAAACAAAAGCGACATTATAAAAGACGCGGATATCACAGTGGAAGTTCCGAAGATAAATTCGCAACCTACAGAAAATGTACAATGTCGTAAGAGTGAAACTTCCACATCTTCTCATGCAGATGAGCCTTTTGCTGAGAGTAGCCAAAATACAACAGAACACCAAAAAAAAAAGCAAAAGGAGTTGCAGGAGAGCTACGAGAATTAAGACATGCCAGGCAAATACAACATAATGAAAAATTGCAAGCATATGAAAAACGTACTGCTCAAATACAAAGAAAAAATGATTTATTAGAAAAACTAATAAATACGTTACAAAGTGAACAATCTGATAATAATAATGAATAAGTTTTGATAAATTTTACGTTACTTATACTTATAATACAGTTATTAAACTTAGTTCTTATTTCTAAATATTTTATTACATATTTCATCGCGTAGAAGTTTTCCACTTTCCTCACGCCCTTCGTACACTGTTTGAATATTTTCCTCCAATTTTGCTTCTTCAAAACAATCTAAATCTGTTTGATCTGCTAAATTGTGTAATACACAGCATGCCCTAATAAAGTGACATAATATTTCAATATTTTTTAGTTTGCAATAATATAATTGCCTAAACCGTTGTTTTAATAACCCAAAAGTATGTTCAATTTGTACTCTAATTTGGCTTAATCTTTTATTGAAATATTTTTGGGATTGAGTGAGATGTCCGTTATCCCTGTAAGGTACTATAAGGTATGGAAGGCAAGGATAAGCTGAGTCACCAAGTAAGTAGTGTCCTAAAAATTATTGATATAAATGCTTGTTTTTTAACACACCTACCTACCTTGTTCTATAAGTGTAGGAAGCTCAGAGAAAATTGGAGAGTTTTTTAATACTCTACTATCATGAGTAGAGCCAGGAAAACCAATAAAAATGTCTATTATTTTTTTGCGTTCATTGCAAATACCTTGTACACATATACTAACATTGCCTTTACGGTCAATGTAATTATCCTTATTGTCATTGGGAGGATCAATAATGACATGGGTGCCATCGATTGATCCTATTACTCCGGGAAAATTGTATTTGGATGAAAACTTTTGTTCGCTTTCAAGCCTTTGTTGTAGAGAAGGCCATTTTATAACATTTACTGACATGTTACTTAAGAATCTGGACACTCTATAAATTATAGTGTGTACTGTCCATAATGAAAGATCAAATCGGTCAGCCAAATCTCTGTATGCACAAGCCTCATGTCCTGCAAACCATAAAAATAACCCAACCTGTTTTTCATAAGAAACAGTATTGTAATGTCTTTCTATGCTTTTGTATTCACTGCTGTCTCTAAACTTGATGGCCAAACTATTAAACAGTGGTCTTGTTATACGAAAATGCATTTTAAATTCCTCAAAAGAATAGGTTGGAACGGTATTCTCAAAAAAAAGCTTAATACAGTTACGACTGCCTTTTATACAACTACTCATACATGCTTGTAAAACATTTTCCTCTATACTATCTTCGGAATCAGAGCTGGCAGTCGAATCTTCATCTTCTAATAGCTCCATTAGAGTATATCTAAAAACTGCTTCTTTTGGATTCATTTTTGAGGTTATCAAAACCAAAATAAGGTTAAGTTGGGTTACAGTGCGCCCAACTTACACTAGCTCGTTTGGTAAACGCAGGATGCACTAATTACCCTCAACAACTCTGTCGTGTTTGCCAAACCTTACACTCAACTACACTAATATTGATACCAAACAAAGCTATTGAGTTTATCATTTCACGCGTAACGTCGAACTTGTAGCATTCGCCGTTACAGCGTTGAGATGATAAAAGCAATGCATTCACCGTTTTCGTACATAAACCATTTCTAGTATCCGTTTTAATTAAATTTATTTTAGAAAAAACTCGTTCGCAGTCGGCATTTGAATGGGGTAAGATTAGTATGTCCAAAACAAATTCGCCCAAGTCCTTAAACGGTATGCAACCTGAGAGGTCTTTATATATTGATATTTTATACCAATAACTGTCAATACTGTTTTCATTTTTTATCTCATCGGGTAATTCATTTAAGTATTGACAATACAGCCTCCATTGATCATCAATTTTTTGTTTTCTCTCTATGTCACCTGGGTTTACAATTCTAGGTAGTAAGTTTATCACCTCTAGAAGGGATTGAGGTCTTTGCTTATCATAATTTTTCTCAAAAATAGCTATTTTGGACAGAATGCTATCTCCAAAATTAAATCTTTTTTTATTTCTTTGGCGGACACTATTAAAAATTGACGACAACGTATGTAAAAGTCATCTCGTTGCTGTTGATTTAATTTAGTAATAGAGAGTTGTCGCACTCATACCGCTAACGCTCCCCCTAACGCTAACATGACGTAATGAATTACCGTAACTTGTTTAACGCGTTGAAGGAAACTTTAGTTGTCGCAAATTCCCGCCAACCGTTAACGATAAACTGAATAAACATAACCTTAAAAATTTACTCCTTTCATTTTAAATTGCTCTAACATACCTGAATACTCTGTTTCAATGGAAGAATTGCTTGAGATAGCATTATTAGATGATTTTGAGGCAGTGGATGAATTATTAGCGGCAAATATAGAAAACAGGAACATGGATGGAATAAGGGCAGAACGTTATCCAAAATTTAATTTCGATGAGTTAACTGATGAGGAAATCCGTCACTATTTTCGGTTTCATCGAAATGATTTGATCCCTCTCCAAGAAGCTCTTCGCATTCCAAATGAAATAAGAACTAACCGGAGGCATGTAACTTCAGGTGTGTAAATGAACACGCCGATAATAGGTCATGAGTAAAAACATTTTTAGGATTGGAAGCATTATGCATGTGTTTACGACGTTTAGCATACCCTAACCGGTTAAGCGATTTAGAACCTTTGTTTGGACTGTCGGCAACGTACATGTCGGATGTAATCAATACCGTTACACGTCACATTTATGATACACATAACCATCTTTTAACAAACTTGGGCAGTTTAAATTGGTTATCGTATGCCAAGTTGACTGAATATAGCCAAGTATGATACAGATTATAACCTGTGAAGATTTATTCCTTACATTGTTTTAGGCAGTATTGAATAAAAATGCTCCTTTAAGAAACTGTTGGGGTTTCATTGATGGAACTGCACGTCCAATTTGTCGCCCCACAAATCTCCAACAAGAGTATTTTTCAGGTCACAAAAGAAACCACTGTGTTAAATACCAGGCTGTGGTGAGCCCTGATGGGATGGTTTGTAGTTTAATGGGTGCTTACGAAGGAAGACGTCATGATGCAGGAATATTTAGACAGTCAAGACTCTATGAACAATTAGAACAATATTGTGTATTCCCAAATGGACAATTTGTGCTATATGAAGATCCAGCCTATTCTATAAGAGAATTATTAATTGCACCCTACCGTAATCGGAATTTGAATGAAGAGCAACAAAATTTTAATAGACGCATGAGTGCAGTACGACAAGCTGTAGAATGGTCATTTGGCAAGGTAGTCAGAGAGTTTGCTTTTCTTGATTTTAAAAAGAATCAAAAACTGTTACTGCAGGATTTGCAAAAAATGTATGCAGTAGGAACAATTTTAAGTAACTGCCAAACATGTACATATGGCAATCAAATTTCTGAATATTTTGGAATGGTTCCCCCTACATTACAACAATACCTAAATAATTATTAATCGAGTTATTAATTATGTTTAAGTATGACCTGTTTCATATTTTCATGTATATTAAAATTGCAATACATTGATGTAGTTTATAATTATGATTTTTTAGATAAAAGGTTTAAAATAATATATATACACTCTTGTTGTTTGTTAAATAATTCAGATGTTTGATTTTGCTGCTCATTTTCAACCTGTAGTCGCTGTAGACGTTCTTCTCTTTGCAAAGCAAACTTATTCTCTTCTAGTGCTAATTTTCTTTCTTCCAAATTCATCTTTCTTTCGTCTAATTGTAGCTGTTTTTCTTTCAACTCCCTTTCCTTATCCCATTTCTGTTGTAGAAGAAGTAGACTATCCGAAATTTTACGAGATTTTCGTTTATGTAATGGCTCTAGAAGTAGTTGTTTAATACAATTAACAAATGTTACCAAATCCAAGTACACGCATAAAAGTAAATGTTTACTTCAAACGTATACACTTTAAAAGAAATATATGGTAAGTTCCTATATGCGCAAACAAATGGAAGATTTTATTTGAAAATATGAATTGTTTACAGTTTAAACAATTCAAACAATTAACAGAAATGTTGCTACTACTTGACATAACTCTACGTGAATTGTAAAATGAAAGCTGCAATTTAATTATAACAAGACAAACATGTTCCTTAGTTCAAAATGTAGCTATGTTCAAAAGAACGCAATGAAATATTCAATCAGATATCACTGTGTGCTTTATTGGAATAATAAGCGGAATCAAATCGATAATACCGTTGTTTCATCGAAATATGGTAGTACATTAATAGAAATGTAGTGTTTAATTGGAGTCCATAAACGATATACTCAACGTAAGTATATCTTTGCTTTGTTTCAAGTAAATGTCACAGGACAGGTTTTGAAATAAAGAACGCGGTTATTCGAATATAGTATTATTTAGGTATGTATGATATTAATATATATTATACAAAAAGACATTCGATATAGACGTACATTGCTTAAAATAACAGTGTAACTACACAGATCTTAACGAAAATTAATACAGAAGTATATAGGTATATGGGTAAAAAACTAAAATATAATTTGAAAAACTGCTTACGGAATTTCTTATATTTAAAAGTGCTATAACTAACACATTATGTTTGTTTAAACTTAAAACTATACTACATCGTTAAAAAATCTACATAACATTTACCATTAGCCAATGTGTGCAACTTGGTAGGTAACTGTGATTGTAAGGCCGAAATTTTCACAGTAAAGTAAGTGTCTTGCGGAGATACTTCATACGCTTCAAAATGTTCACAATACCTATCTGTGGAATATCTTTGAACCACAAATAAAAGAGTTTCATATTGTTTACTAATTAAAATATTCTTTATTTTACAATATCTTGGTATGTCATTTGAAATTTCAAATAATAAAAATGAGCCTTTATCATATTTGACTCCATTTATTTCATACCACGATGTACAGAAATAATCGTCTACTGAAATATCAGAAGTGATTGAAGGAAGATTAATAAAAGCATTAACGGGTCCGTAATTTATATAATTACAAAATCCCTTCTGAGCCATGAATCTGTAAGAATATTTAAGTTGCATTCTCAATGCTAATGAATACGGCAGATTTTTTCTACATCTTATGTAGTGAGCAGTGCTTTTTAAATCTTGATGCTTAGCTTCGAATCTCATACATGAAATTAAACTGATCGGACCAATTTTTTCTATAACTTTTACATAGTGTAATAGAAAATGATGCTTGGGCTTTAAGGTACAATCAAATAAGGATAAGTACATTGAATGGTGTTCATTGATTAAAGTTTTAAGTAATTCTAATGTGCGAGGTGTTGTGACGGGCTTAGAAACAATTTCAGTTAAGTTTAAAAGTTTTAAGTAAAAAATCCATGACGGATCATTCGGCGGAATAAGATCGCCCACGATAAACCTGAAATTCCTTACGAAAGTCAACATCTCAGATGCCGAAAATATTATAACTCCATTGGTTAAATGATCTTTAGAAACCTTGGGTGGCGTGTTCTTTTCAAATTTGTCATAGCAAAAGTACTGTATTCTTGAGTTTAATTTTTCGAGTGTGAAATATTTCTGATTAATTAGATTTTTAATAATTAAAGACATGTCATACCTATGGATACCTTCATAAAGGTCATGCATTATATCCACTACTAAATTGTCATATACATGAAAATTTGAAAGTTGATGCCATACACATACTTCTTTTATTCCTATTCTATTTTGTAGATGATTTTCATAATCGTTTTTTTCTCTAACATAATCATTATTTTCTGTAGTTTGGCCTTCAGAATGCCTTTTTGAGACCGTGCAAAACCTACAGAAATACCGGGCTGAAAAACTTTCAACATACCCAAATATAGAATGCAAACCTAAATTGTCACCAGTGATGGCAACGACCGAAAAAAATACTGTTTCAAATTTCCCTCCAGATATCTGTATAGAAATACCATTTTTTTCTAAGATATTTAATTCTTTTATAAGATCCCGAAACGTTAAATCATTACCAAAATAGCTTCGATCGTCACTATAAAAAATTTGAGCTAAAAATATGTTTTCTAGTTTTACTAGAAACGTTGGCGGTATTGTAGCTATTGTATAGTATACAGCACCAATCTTGTAACACCCTGCTTTACTTCCTAATGGATTTCCCGATTCAAAATCATCGAAATAGAAAACAAGGGGCAAAATTACTTTATTGGGAGACTGTTTAACAATATTTTGATAAATTGATCCATGAACCAAATTGGACATGACACCGCCTGGTGTATACATTTCTAATAATGTTGTCTGATAACATCTTATAGCTTTGTATACATCAGGAAGTTCTAAAAACAACTTCAGCGTTTTTGACAAAGGTATGCGATAGGTCATTCTGTTTTTCAAAATCAAATGGGTTTCACTATCAACACGTTTTGGTTCAGATACAACTCCCAATTTGTGCTCTACAGGTTTAACAATATAATTTGAATTTTCAAAGTATTTTAATCTTTTATATTCAGAATCTAGAGCCGAAAATGGATTAAGCAATATTTCAATCATATTGATAATGTTATGAAAAACGGAAGTAGGTAGGTGTTCCTTACAAAATGTCTCAAAGGTTTGCTTCAATAAATTAATTAAACCTGAGGATAAAAAGCAACGAACCGAATTTAAAATAATTTGTATACTATTTCTTGGTAATAATGAGCAACTATACAATTCTGAAACAAATTTCTTTAAATTTTGATCAAAAATTTCTGTAAATTGTTTAAAATTCTCTTCAATTGTACTTGAATGAATAGCATCCGAATATTCCGGATAGTCCGTACTACAATCATCATCATTTCCTTTAGTATGAGGCGGTATTGTAGTATTTGGTGGTATATCGGATGAACCGCAGGACTGGAAAGCTGGAAAGCTAGAGATTTCAGTTACATTTGTATGTTTCAAGGAGTAATGTTTTTGAAAATCTTGTTTCCGGTGGTATAGTCTATTACAACTATTAATAGGACATAGATAATGATTGACAATACCATGTGAATATTCTAAATGAAAGCAATATTTTTTTAAAGAACTACAATTCCTACCACATTGCACGCACTTCATTGTAAATTATAACTTACTTGAAATTCGATAAAATATCAGAAACATAAGGTGGAATTTTGTCGGATGGTAAATTAATTTCATAGACACATTTTTGCAGCAATGTGTATATGTACTCCGCCTGAATGGGGTAGTTGGCGTTAATCACATGGAAAATTTTGAACAGTAGGTCGAAAGATCGTTTCGCACTCTCACAAGATAGGTGCACCCTACCGTCTATTACTACATAAAACCTTTTGGGATCCTCTGCAGTCCCTTCGACTAGGAGGTACGGCTGTACTCTTTGACCTCTTGCTTGGGCATTATGAACTTGTTGAGAGATAACCGGTTCTATGTCACCTGCAACCTAAAATAAAACGTTATAAAATAGTAGGCTACGTAAAAGGGAAAAGACAGATAAGTTAGATGTGAAAACTAGGTTTTACAATCCCGTGTATTTGCAGAATAATAATATTCATAATTTTGAGACATACTTCCCATCGGTTGACACAACTCTAATCTTGGAAATTTTAGCTAGAATATTGTTATTCTACAAAGTAGACGACCCATAAACCCTCTTATGTTGTTATTTTTTCCGCCCGCCGCCTGCCCGTGGGAAAAAGTTTAAGTCCCTACTCTGTAAGTGTGAAACTATCAAAAAAGTTTTGTTCTGCTAATTAATAGATCTCATAAATTTTATCCCTTTGCTTGTTTAATTTCCTTTAATGACCTAAATCTAAACGTCAAACGATCATACAATGTGAAAAGAAAGTATATTTAAATAAGGTGCCAGTGATATATACCTTTGCCGTGACAACGATGGCGTGAAGAGTTTCTAACGTTGAAAACTTCCAATGTTTATTTATCGCCTTTTGGGTAATAATCCTTCCCTTTGGTGGGAGAAAATACGGCAGAAGCGTCAATTGCTTCAGAAATTTAGCATCTACGAAAATATTAATTAACATTGTTGCAATATTGGGTTAGCATCAAGTAATTTGCCAGTGTTACATTTGCTAAATCTTTGAAATACTACTCTAATAGGTACTTTTAAAGAAAGTAAAAATTGTGAACCTATGACTCGATCAAATACATACCTTCGTTTTCAGTTTGCGGGACAGATTCGTGCAGTTGCAAAGCCACGGAATCTTTTAGGCAATTTAACTTTAAGTTCGCGACCACTTCAAAAAATGATTCCCACTTTGTATAAAGTTTCAGTTCCTTCTCTGGGAACAACTTTCGAAAATCTTGATTAATCTGCAAAAACATTGCCTTATAAATATAGTATTCATGTAACCCAATAACAAAGATTTCAAAAAGCTATTAACATAAATACATACCAACACATCACTTCTTAGGTCTCTTAAAATGGGCCATCTTTCTAAATATTCCTGTACGGTAGGACAATCTTTGTCACAACGTCTTAGATCGTATGTATTGTTCCATTTTTCCATTACCTCCGCCCATGGTTCACTGTTCACCTTTAGCCATGTCATATCATCATTGTTAACTCGTCCCCTCTTCTCAAGTATTTCATCTGTGCTGTCGTTTGACTCTTTCGATCTTCTTTTTCTTTTGGGATTCGCTTCTTCGCACTTATGAATCAAATTACGAACCTTATCCACCAATTTTCCCCTTGCCAAAACTGATTTTCCTATAATGGATTCTGATTTCCTTATTGGTGGAACATAGTAAGTTCCTAAACATTCTCGAGGAAACAAACTAATAATTTTAGCAGCTACTTGATTGTACTCTTCGTGTTTCATACGGCTGAAATTGACATCACCGATAAACTTTCTCAAGCAAATAACCAATGACTTACTTTTTTATGATGTAACTGTACATATGTTTAATAATTATGTCCACAAGCCTTGTACGACGCGTGTGGTCCAAAATATTGTGCTGCTGATAGTATTTCAATATACTACTTCCCATTGGAGTAGTTTGCAGTAGAGTCCGAAGATCAAAATCAGGAAAACTTAATTGTGGTGTGATAATATTCGCTACATTAAAATCAATAAATTCAAATTGTATGTCTTGGGAGACTTCTGTTGCCGTTGTGTTATGGATATTTGGTGTAGTCGCCCCTTCAATTCCACTAGGATCGTCGCTGTAAATAGTAATTGTCGAAGCGGGAGATTCGGTTTCTCTAATTGTTGAATCGGAAGCATTGCAGTCGTCCTTAATAAATAAAATTTTTATAGATAACAATTTTCACAATAATTTTGCTTATACCTGTTGTTGCAATTCCCTAATTCGCAATGATATCAACTTACGCATGCCAAGTGAATTAGGCAACAGTTCGCGAAGCTCTTTGTCATTGAGATGCTTTAGCAACTCTATCCCAATATCATTTCCTAAAAATAAGCTCACTTTGTTATTGGGTTAAGTGCAGTAACTGAATGTATGGCTAAGACATGCCTTCTCCAAATACATTTTCATTGTTATTCTTATTATTTGTAATACTAACACAATAAAAATTTCAAATAATTTACTTACTTTTAAACACATCGATGGTCTCCGCCGTACAACCCCAAGACGCCATCAAATCTTGTACAGTGGATGGAGCCGTTGCGGTTGCGGTATTTTCCATCATTAAATAATCGATGATAAATTACTAACTGCATACACAAAAACCCGAACACAATTTGTTAATAGCAAAGGGAAGATGCGATTACAAATTAAAACCATTGAATGCTAAACTAAAAACGCTGGACTGCAAGACGCAAGTTGTAACGCTTTTACGTGTCGGTAAACTCGCAACTCATCAAAATATGATATACTTAATTATCAGTGCTACGTATATGTCATATGCTTAAATTAAACTTTCATATTCTTCTTTTAAATAAAGGTGGCTTTTAATGAACCAAGTAGAAGTTTAAATATACCATATATTTCATTTAATGCGCACACTATTGAATTCAATACATCCCGCAATTCTAATCGAATATATACTAATCTTTTAATTGATGCGTTAAAGATTTTTTATCCAATTCAGTATTTGTTCAAATTAAACTCCAGATCGTTATTTTGAAACTATTATGTAAGCATTTAAAATAGTCCAAACAAGGATTACTTTCATTTTTTTCCAAGTAAAGATACTTCAGTTAAAAGGGTATTATTTCAAAATGACTTTATACTTTCAAATAAAATAGTATATTTCATTAAAGAAATCTGTTTTATGCGTGAAAACTTTTAAGTTTTTTATTGATCATTTAAGCCAAATATCGTGCATCCAGACACGCCTAACTAACATAACACTCAGATAATGAAATTATTCATAAGACTATGAAACAAACTATATTACTGGCCATAACGGTTGATGGAAAACATAGAGAGTTGTCGCAAACCTTTCCGCTAAACGCTAACGCTATCTTTTAGCAAAATGACGCATGGCGCGATAATAGCCGTAACGCTATTACGTTAGCGACAGCACGGGTATTTCGTGACGAATAGCGCGTTTTGTTTTACCCGTACGAAATATTTTTACTCTTAGTGAGGTAAGTGACATTTACGTGTATTCTCTTGCAAGATTCAAAAAATGCAAATAAAACGCCGAGTAGATTCACAAAGTGGCAGATGACTTGCAACTCATACAGAGTGTTTTGGTAGAAAATCCATACCGAAAGAGTTCTTCAGGTTGGGATAGGTCATTCAAACTTAATAGGAAGTCTCAGTGGGGTAAAATCCTTACATTACGTGGTGAAAGGATCATCGGAATATTATAGAAACTTTTATGAAAGAAGATGCTGCTAAATTTTAAAAAAGTAGGTATGCAAACGTGTACAAAAAATGTGGTCTCTGTACCTAAAGTGTTATAGATCAGGCACGGAAGAGGAGTAGTACGATGAAAAGGTCAGATTGTTGACAGAAATTACGGAGTGAGGCGAAGAATTCCAGTGCAAAACCAAATACAAAGACTCTAATCCATGCTCCAGCCGTCCAAACGCAAAAGGCACTTCAGTCGCGTGTGAGCATGCAGCAACAATTGCGGCAGTAATGCAGAAGGTGGGAATGCTCTGAACACAAAAATTGTACATTGCCTACACTTGTAATGTAGTTCATACACTATTGGAAGATGAAGTAATGTGGAAAATGAAAACAAAATACACGTACAGAGAAACCATTATGACGAAACAAATCAGGACTCGGAACATCAACTCCAACATCAAAATACGTGGTACACAGCAAT